GATCACGTTCCGATGAAGCCAACAGGACCACATCATCCGCAAAAAGCAGAGATGCGATCCTAAGACCACCAAAACGGATCCCCTCAACACCTCGGCTGCGCCTAGAAATTCTGTCCATGAAAGTAATGAACAGAATCAGTGACAAAGGGCAAAATAAATAGACATTTCACTTTGAAATTCTGATTAAGGCTTATTACACAGAATCAGAAACGTTTTCATATAGATATCTTTAAAAAAGTTTGACCAGATGAGATAAAACTTAGCATATCTTCACTTATTTTATTGACTTTGGAATTTGCATTGAAAACACAAATGCAAATTTACATTATAGCTCTTTGCCTTTAGGCATTTGTATAAAAAATAAAATGAATCTACTTTACTTGTTTCAGTAAAAGACTGTTGCAATGATGAAAAGCAGATTTTAAAAAATTGAATGAACTTTGATTTAAGGTCATTTTAAAGTATGACAGTCGGCACAAATACGGTTTTTATGTGCTCATGTTTTCTTATTATGTTAAACTAAAACGTCTCCTGTGCAAAAAGTGAGCAACACAAAGAAGAATTGTTCTTTATGTGTTTTATACGTGAGATGTATCGTCAGGAAGGCGTCCCTCCTAATTGCACTCTGGTGTTTGTGAATGGCTCTGGCACCATGGCGTGTGTTCCTCTGAGAGAACATAACAGATGGCTCAACACACATGGGTGCCATGCTGCTGCCACAGGAGCTCTACGACAAATAGCCACACGTCACACTCACACACAAACACACACACACACACACACACACACACACACACTTACAAAACGCAAGCCTTTCTAGAAACACATGTTTATTCACACACAAAAACAAAACCAGCAGCCCATGTGTTCACACTCTTACCACACTTTTCTACCACCTCCTGGGTGACGAGCTCCTTCACGTCTTCTGCCTTCACACAGAAGAAAATATTTACGACACCAGTTAGTTTTTAACTAAATGTCTGTTTTGTATTTTTTTATTATATTTAATGATTATAACGCTGATGTACCGAGAGTCCAGGTTCTCCTTTGTCCCCCTTCGCTCCTTCTTTACCCAATGAACCCTTGAAAAAAATCAATTAAAATTAAAAACGTGTACATTTACAGTCTATTTTAATGCTTTAGGTTTTACTGGACAAAAATATTGTAAAAGCAAACATATGGGGCACTAAGTGTAAGATGAAATGTAAAAAAAAAATCACTAACATATTTCCATTATTTAACAGACTTTTTGAGTGTTAAAACATTTTATTATTTAGCTCACTGTTTTTACATTTAGCTATAGCAAAATGTTAAATTTAAATGTTAAAAATATTTTAATATTAAATCCTAAATCTAAATGCAAAAGTTAAACCTTAAATGTTGAAGTTCACATTTAGGTATTTCAGAATGGAATGCAGCATTTGCTGCTGGCGCTCTGCTCATGTTATGACATCATCATCCTGAGACAATAACAACAGCTAGCTCCAATGCAGCTAAAGCTTCCCTACAAGACAGCAAACTTGCAATTATGGCTGGTGTTTGAGCTGCACTTCAAACTGCTGGACCACAAGTTCCACCCATATAGTTTTTTTTATGAACACATTTTGAGTTTACATTTTAAATATTATCTTCAGCTGTGTTAGCAGCAGCTGGCGGTGATAGTTGCAACAGTATTTGCAAGTTCACCGTGACTGTGTTCAGAGAACGAGTGTTTTTGTATGAATCTCACACTCTCTCCTCGGTGTCCAGGCGTCCCCGGTGCTCCCCTCTGACACAGCTTGGACCTTCCTCTCCTGCCCCTCTCACCCTGTTCGCCGAAAAGCACACGCAGGGAAATAAACCTCTGCGTCCACAAAGACAAATCCATGACAGGACTTCAAATCTGTAACTTTAAACAGTCTGAGTGACAGATCAATTAGATGCATCCTTAGAATATCCTCATTAGTTGCTTCAAGCCACTCTCTGTTACCACAGAAAGTCTGGTAATTGTAGCTGAAAGGTTGTAATTGAGTAAGATATTACTTGAAAGCTGTAGACAGAAATAGGCGTGTGTGTGTGTGTGTGTGTGTGTGTGTGTGTGTGTGTGTGTGTGNGTGTGTGTGTGTGTGTGTGTGTGTGTGTGTGTGTGTGTGTGTACGTGTTAATTGGGGACATGTCTCTGCTGTCTCCGCTGCTGCCACTCTCTCACAAAGACACAATGACTGTAATCAAGCTGAGCTCGTCCTCATCGTGCATAACACGTCCACTCTGGTTGTGTTTTTACATTTTAAATAAAAGAAGTAGTTGTGAGGATGTTTGACAGTACAGTAGCTGAAACAAGTTCCCAGAATCTCTTCTTACAGAATAAACCAAAAAAATGTAAAGACAATTTTTAATGAAATTTTGTAATAATGCGTGGGAAGCCCTGTTTAGAGCAGGTGAGGATGATTTGCAACAAAAAGCCTCACAGGTGAACGTTAGTTTTTATGCAGTGAAACTTCATCGGTCGATGCAGTGGTTGTGATTTTCAGAGCAGGGAGCCACAGGTGGTAAACTGACACCTGAGTAAAAGCAGCCGGTTCAGATGTTACCAGTCCATTAAATGGACGTTATTAGTGGTTATCAGTCCCATAGAATGGCTTCAGACTGTCCTGACAGTGCCCCCTAGTGGGTTACCAGTGCCACATACGTTGGAATGCAACAATCTGCTACTGCCGGATTCCGGTCTACTTTATCGTAGCCCATGTTATTTTCTCTAAAATTAACCTTAGTGGCTTTATGCTTCATTTTAACCAGATTGCATAAAAAAGCCTTAGTGGCTTTATGCCTCATACTAAGCAGCTGTCAATCTGAAGCCGTTCCATGGGACTGATAACAGCTGATAACGTCCATTTAATGGATGATAACAGTCAAAGCGGGTGGTAAAAGTCAAGGATTAAGTCAGACATGAGAATGTTTCTGACTGGTGGAGAACTGAGAACAAAAGCAAACTCATTACTGATGATTTATTCAGATTTTTTTTTTTTGAAGAATCACAAAGCAGACAGACACGACAGGAAACAATCAGGGTACCTTAGGCCCTGAGTCTCCTCGAGGTCCTGGTGGACCTGGTGGTCCTTCATCTCCATCTCTTCCTGGACTTCCAGCTGATCCCTTAAACCCCGGAAAACCTGAGAAACCTGCTGCACCCTGAATTAAGACAAAAATGACTCATGAAGAAACAAAGATGTATATTTTTTTTCAACATAAGTTTATTACATTATTTAAATGTTTCACATTTTAACTTTACAACCTTTTCTCCTTTCTCTCCTGGTTCACCATCACTTCCACTGGTCCCCCCTTCTCCTTTATCACCCTATAATTATACATAATCAGAAATACAAATCTGTGTATAGAGGTGACATAAAAATATTAGTATTTTCACCTTGCGTCCCGTGAATCCATTTAGTCCAGGTACGCCGGAGCTCCCGGGTAAACCCATATCTCCCTGTTTTTTAACATATAATGTAGTTGAAATTTCTGTAGGAGGCACTGCTTCATGATTTAATTGACTATTTTTCATTCATCAGAATCTAACTGAAGGCTAACCTTTTCTCCATCTAAACCAGAAGTCCCAACACGTCCAGGAAATCCCCTGAAACCCTGGAAATACAAGCAACATGTTTGCTAAGTCCTCCAGTGTTGAAGGATGACCACCAGTGGACCAAGAAAAAATAATAAGAATCCCTCCACCTTCTCTCCTTTCTCTCCTTTTTCTCCTGGTAAGCCAGATTCTCCTGGATCCCCCTGTGAAAAAAAACACATGCAAATTAAATAAAGTCTGATTGGGTTTGTGTGCAGCAAAGTTCACACCACACTGATAGAACCATATTTAACCTTGATGCTTTGAAGCCATATTGTTTTTTTAAACTACCTGGTTGCCCTTCTGGCCGTGAAGTCCATCATCTCCCTTGTCTCCTTTGGCTCCGTCCTTTCCATGTTCTCCATCACGTCCCTGAAATCAAACCAAGCAGTTGTTGTGTATCGTCACCTGAAACTCAATCCTGGCTTCAAACGAGATGTTTGGATGTTGCTTTACCATCCCTCCGTTGAGTCCTGGTTCTCCAGGATCCCCCTGTAGATCACATAAAGTTCACATAAAGTGTCAAACAGTTAAACACATTTGAAGAAAAGTTGCTGAAGTTCTAGTTTACCTTCTGACCAACTGGTCCTCGTGCTCCAAACCGCCCCATTGCCCCTTTAGTGCCTGCATCACCCTTTACACCCTACAAAGATTTAAAACACTCTGCTCTTATTTGATGAACTGGGGTTACTTGGGTAGAAATCTTTAAACGCTGAGAAAATTGTGAGTATGATAAAGTTTTTTAAACATCGGAATCATTTGTTACCTTAAATCCAGGAGGACCATCTTCACCCTTCTCTCCTTTATCCCCATCAAAACCTGGGAAACCTCGCTCTCCCTGAAACACAACATTCCTACAATAATAAGTTTTGATTTAACGATATCACAGTTACCACAACCTCAGTATTTTCAGTTTGAAGCTCTTTGGGAGCCATCTTGTTGTGCTACGTTGAGGATCAGATTTGAAGTTTTATGTGAACATCACTTGAGTTTATGAGTTTTCTTCTAAAATGTTCAGGTCTACATTTATTATATTCTTTTTGAATACCTTTCTAGGTGTGATTGAAATATTAGGCACAGTATAATTAAAAATGAAATATTATGTCTTGATCTAAACAGCTTTAAGTTTATACTTATGTCTTGCTTCAGCTTTGCTATTAAAAGTGTTTTTCCCCTTCTTTTGATCTTTTATGTGTTGATATAATTGGACGCTGATTATAAAAATGATATTTTTCTCTCACACAGATAAAAAAAAAACAAAATCTCCTTGCCAACACAAAAGATTCATTTGTTGTGGGGCGAGAAAAAAGGCAACAAACTGAAGAGGATCTTACCGCCTCGCCTTTGGAACCCTTGAAACCACGAGGTCCTTGGATCTGAAGCACGCTCCCCTGCAAAGCAGAATTAAATTTTCATTTCAGAACACAAAAGACCAGAGATCATAGTTTTTACTGTTTGTTCTGTGTGACACACGAAAGTTGCCTCTGCTGAAATTTAATCTGAAATAGTACAAATGGAGCACAAGTCTAAATACTTTGTCACCATACCCTTTCTCCTCTGACTCCAGCTAAGCCTCGATCTCCCTGTGAGGAAAAAAAAAATGAAAACAAAATAAATTGTGAATTTAACTACAAAGAGACATATTTTTTTATTCTCAGATGTCAGTAACAGTTACTTCATATCTCTTGGCTCCATGCTGTCACAGCAGTTCAGAACAGTATGATCCTGTCTAATAAAATATATATTCTGCAGGTTTTTCAGCTCCACCTGACTGGGGTTTAGTGCTGTTTGACAGGAATGAGTGTCATGAACAAATTACTCAGTCAGCATCACTTCAACAGTGACATTTCAGCTGAGATGAGACAAATACAGCGTTAAAGCAATACAAACCACGGCAGGCATCCTTCTGAAAAACAACCAGAACTTCAGCCGACCCCTGATCATAATGGAGAAATTGCTCTGTATGATGTAGTTTATAACAAAGTTTTGAGAATGATGAACAAATGAGGGAAGATAAAAGTGGTTTTGGAGGAGAATAAGAGGTGGAGGGTGAAAGAAGTCATAAAACAGCAGTCACAGTTAAAAGTATGGGTAACACTTCATAATAACACATTATGAAGCCTTGCTTAATCATTAATAAATGGTTAGTTAACCTTGAAAACATCATTAATTAATGATGATTCATCATGTTCATTCACGAGTTATTAAGCAATAAACAATGAATATGTTGGTTTTGGAAGCAGTTAGTCTTTATGGTTAAAACATTAACAAATGTGTTAATTCAGAGAGTCATCCTTAATTATTGATGTTTTTGAGGTTAATTAACAATTTATTAATGATTAAGTAAGACTGAATAAGGTGTAGTGAGTATAAAGTGTTACCTAAGTATCTTAATTAGTTAAACTTTATTAAGACGTTGCTTTAACAAGGTTTTAAATAGTTCTGTTTATTATTTTGAAGATTTTCAAGCAACTTCAAGTTGCTACATTTTACAGTTTATTTGTCAAGATTTATAGGTTTTGTTGTGCTTTTTTATTTTCATGATTTTGAATTGTCTTTGTTGTTAAATTATTTCCTTATATCCTAACTGCTTCTGTAGTATTTCTTCTCATGTTTTAAAAAAAGTCACTTGTTTTTCTCATGTTGGAAAAATATGCGTTGTTCAAAATGGTATGTCCAAATAAACAGGATTCAGCTGGGTTTCTTGTTAAAAACTTTATTTTCAGTCCTCTGACTCCAATCAGGTTCATACAGCACTGAGCAGCACAGGCCTCAGCGTACAACCTTGGGCCAAATCAAAACAAACACATTTCCCAACCCCAGAAATTCAAATTTTAATCCTCCCAGACCTAAAAATATTCATCATCAGGGATAAGACTC